TACATTTGAGGCCGCGGAGAACACCGCGGCTTGCTCCGGGCGCACCTCAGTCCCCAAAGTGACAGCCCTGTTTCTCCAGACTCTAAAGAGGTCCTGTGCAGCAGACTGACCTAATCAACATGTCTTCCGGCCTCTTGACGGCTTCTTCCATGAACGTTGATTGTGCACCCAAACAAGGTGAAATCCTCGCCAACGTTAACCTGTTCTCCATGTACCACGGCGTCACCTCTTGGTCCAGTGGGAGGATGTTGGTCTCCTTCCCATTAAGTCATTCTCCACGCTGAAGGCTGTAATCCATGATCTTCATCAGCAAGTGCTTCGAGCCCCGTGCACGCTCAGGTCATTAATAAGCCTTCCTCCGGGCCTAGTGCTGAGCTCTTCTTCCGCAGTGCTTGTCGGAAGAAGAAGCAGAGATAACAGTGCCTATCTGCCCTCGCCTAGGGAGCCCCAGTGGCATAGAGACTTACACGTTGGGCTGCTAACGGCAAGGTCTGCGGTCCAAAACCATCAGCTGCTCCTCAGGGGTAAAAAGGAGGCTGTCTACGCCCGGAAAGATTTGCAGGCTCGGGAACCCCCATGTGGAGGGCCATTGGGAGCCAGCATCGACCCGAAGGCCGTGAGTTTGGGGTTTGAGTCTTTTCCCCCACCTGCTGGGATGAGATGAAGGCCGCGAGGTGCTCGGGACCCACAGAGGCAGGCAGAGGGGCTGGTGGGGCTAAGAGGGGGTGCATCTCCCAAGGTTTCATGCTCCGTGGGCTCCGTCCGTCTCGAGCGGAGGCTGGGAGAGAACAGGCAGTGTAGATGCACTGAGGCTGGTCCCGACAGGCAGAGCTGTAGGACACAGGCATCACCCGGATCCCAACCACCTGCCGGGTCCCAATAGGGCCTCGGGGCGGAAAGAGAGAGGACTCAGGTGCCAAGCCCCGCTCCTGCCCATGTGGCTCCTGGACCCACCCCTGCGGGCTGCCGAGAGGCAGGCTTCTACTCACCTGGCAACATAAGGTGGAGCTTCTCCACATCTGAGCTGCCTCCAGGGACTGGGATGCCCTAGAGAGAGGAAGGTCCCTGTCCCTGCAGGTGTGCAAGCCAAGACTAGAGGCCAGGCTCCCAGGATCCCCTCCACTCCCACAACTTGAGGCTGGGTTAGGACCCAACCTGGCTGACCTCAGAAGTGTGGAGGTCTGTTAGCTATTCGTATTCCTGGGTTCTCCCAGCAACCCTAGACCAGGAGGTCTCGGCGGACCCCAGAAGAGCCCTCTCCCTTTAATGACATCTCCAGGTGGTCCTGCTGCACAGCCCGGCGTGGGCACCCAGCCCCAGGGGAGCGCTGCCATTTGATGAGGATCACATTCAGGAAGAACTCCAACAATTGGTGCCTGGGACAGTGGGCAGAGCTGTGAGGAACACGAGGGTGAGGAAGGCAGAGATGAAGGTGAGGGTGGCAACCGGCACACAGACCTGGGAGCAGTCAGGAAAGACGCCCTAGAAGTGACGGGATTTGGCTCTGGAGACTGAGCCTCCCTGCAGGGGACGGTGGAGGAGCACCGCAGGGCTCAAGAAGGGTTAGGGGGCCAGGCAGGAAGGTGAGCTGAGATCATGAAAGGTCTTGAGTAACCGGAGGAAGACTTCGGACCTCCACCTTAGGCAAGGAGGAGCCGCTGAGGGCACCTTATCCACAGCTTGGGTGTGGTTCTCTGCACCCTTCCCCACCGTACTTCCCTCCTCACATCCTACAGGGAAGCCCTCGGAAGCCAGGACTCCGCAGGCGGCCTTGCTGATCCGGGTCTCACCGCACTGCATCTCCGAAGGCGCGCAGTGGCACGCAGTCCCACGCTCCTCCGTCGCTCTGTGAGTGGACAGCATGTGCGCCTGTCTTCTCGCACACGGCTCTGTCTTACACACACGCGTTCCAGCGTTGGCGGGCTTTACCGTATCGTGAATGTGCTTATCTGGGGTTTTCTGCTATTAATTATTCATTGCATTAATAACGGTGGCACCAACAACGATATCCATAGCAAAAGAAGAGATCGTGGTTTCTCTCCTACCTACATTACAATGACACAGGATTACAGACATACGATATGGCGGGTGGGGGAGGGTGTGCGTGTGAAAGATGAGCTTCCAAGATCATGGTTTGTGGAAGCTCCTCCTCCAGAGAGATAGGACCTTTGCTGGTGCAAGAGTAGCACGCTGAGCCATGAGCCGAAAGGAGCTGGGCTCCGTGGAAACCGCCAGCAGGGCAGTTCGATGGCGGCACTCAGGGTTGCTATGCATCCTGCATGGGATCAACTCAACGGTGCACAGCAAGGCAGGGAAATAGATGTTGTGGCCTCAAGGTCCCCTCTGTGCAGTCTGAGCCTTCGAGAGCCCAGCCTCGGGTGCTCGCCCGAGGGTGCTGGGGACACATGAGAGTGCCTGGCTCAGAGCGGGTGTCCAATAAGGCGGTCCCCAATGATGGATGGCCGGGTGAATCCAGCAAGCATGGAAGCAGCACCCTAAGCATGCCACAGGGGTTTCAGGGGGCGATCAGGCTAGGCTGCGCCGAGTCCCCTCCGGGCCCTTCAGCCTTGGGTGTGGGACGGAGGGAGGAGGCCTTGGGAAGAGGTCAGAGAAGTCGTCCCGGAGGAGGCCACAGCCACCCACTCCCCCAACTCTCCAGGCCCCCACATGAGACAGAAGTTCAGAGCTTGAGTCAAACGCCCTTCGTCTTGCTTTGGTAGCTAGGACCCCCAGCCTCGCCTGTCCTGGGCCCACATGTCCTCCTGTCCCTAGCCATCCCCCCACAGGAGCTCTGGGGGAGGGGGTGGGTGGAAGGGGTAGGAACTGGCAGGGGGTGCCAAGGACAAGCTGAAACTTCCTGCAGAAGCTGAGAGCTTGTTCCAGTCTACCCTGCTGCTCAGAGCCCGGCCTCACATCTCCTCCCGGGAGCAAAGTCCCTCTGCTGCTGTCTCCCAGGTCACAGAGGCCTTTTGAGAATAGGGGACTGGCTAGACACAGGGGAAGAGGTACCTTATCCAAGGTCACACATCCACAGGGCAGTCCCCAAAGCTCCCACAGTCAGGTGATGGGCACTCCAGGCCACAGCACATACCCTTCAACTTCCCTGCCTCTTCCCTCCCTGTGAGGAGGCTGGTTCCCCCTCCCCTCACCGCCCCAAGGCCTGTCTCTGCGTTGCACATCAGGGCCCCCATGTGCACAGCGCTGTTATCACCGATGCCAAAACACAGTCAGTCGTCACAATGGGCAACGGAGAAGGGGCTCCACATGCCACCCAGGGCGCCCACTGCTGGGGCATTCCACAGCCATTGAAAGTCCCTGTACAGCAGCTTGTTTAATGATGGGAAAATGAGCCTGGTCTGGCATTAAGTGCAAAAGGCAGGTTGGGAAACAATAAGTACAGTTTGATCCCAATTATGGCATAAAGACCTCGTTTGTAAAAGACTGACGGGCGAAACACCCAAGCACACACGTGCGGCTTTTAATACCAGAGAGACAGAAGGTTGAGAAAAAAATCCTGTGGGTCAAGGCTCAGCCTAGAATGTCCCTCCTCCAGCAAGTCTCCCAGACCCCCGCTGTGAGAGATGCTCCCTACCCTCTCTGCACTAGCACCGTCCCCCTGACTTCCTGCCTCCACTCTGGGGGGGAGCTCCCAGGACCAATGTCTTTTGGGTGTTCCTGTCCACCTGGGCACGAGTGGCAGAGGCAGCCTTCTCGGCCAGTGTGGGCACAGGGCTCACACCACTCCTTGGCCTCCTGAGCTCGCCCCTACCTCCCCAGACTGTGTGGAGGGCAACCCTGACCACAGCCTGTCTTCCCAGTTCCCCAAAGCAATTACATATTCAACTGGAGAGGCTAATTAACGGCACATTCCACCCAGGACTGACTAATTAGCAAGAATATTCTGATGCAGATAACTGGACTTCAACTCCTAGCCTATGATGCCAGGAGGAAAACCAGGTGCCCACTCCCTGCCATACACCCCCGGCTGTCCAGCGGGAGGAGGTGCTGCTGGCTACACCTGCCACCATGCCTTCAGAAAAAGGGTTGTGCACCCCCACCCCCACCCCTGCCTAGCACTGGGCCTTCTGCCTCTGAATAATGACCATGCTGTTCCGGTCCAGCCTGCTGCTCAGAGCCTGGCCCCACGGTTTCTCGGTTCCTCGCGGGAGCAAAGTCCCTCTGCTGCTCTCTCACGGGTTCCAGAGGCCTTTCGAGAATAGGGGACTGACCCAGGCAGAGCGGAAGAGGTACCTTATCCAAGGTCACACAGCAAGGCAGGGGTCAAACTCAGGTCCCCTCCTTCATCCCCTGCCCTTTCTGCACATGCTACAGCGTGTCCATCCCCTCCCAGTGGACAGAGTGGGAGGGCTTGTCACCTCCCACATTCTGGGGGACCTGCTCCTCATCATAGAGCCAAAAGGCCGTCTGGCAGCTCACACAGAGCCAAGGTCACCTGGCTGTAGGCCTGTCCCGCACACGCAAGTGCACTCGCATGCACACACACGCACAGACCCTGACTCTGGCACGGAGCCCCGTGCTGCTCCACACGCCGGCACCAATGCCAGCTTCTTGACAGCTTCTTGGACCCTGCCGGTCTCCCTCCGCACGCTCCCGCTCCCTCCTGCCCTGGAGTCATGCGCACGGTTGGTAACAATGTGACGGCACCAAGGTCAGAGCCTGCCCATCAGCCCACCAGGGAAGGCCCCCACTCCACCCAGGGCCCTTAGCCCAGCCCTGCCAGGAAGCCTCATCTCTCGGATGAAAGGCCCTGGCTTCGGTGCCAGTGGCCCAAACCCACCTCAGCAAGGGCTCGCCAGGGCAGCAGCACCACCTGATTGAGCCCCTGGGCTTCCTGCCCCACGCGTGTGGGGAGGGAGAAAGTGCCCTGAGGCAACCTCTGACAGCCTTCCCCATCCTCCAATAGCAAGAGCCCCATCCCATGTCCACTCCTCAGGGCCCAAGCCCACCCCTCTGCCTCAGGAGCCCGGTGGGCTTCTTACCTCCAGCTGGGCGGGTGGCTGGGAAGGGTGGCTGCCAGAAGCCAGCCCGGCTGGACTCGTCGCCCTTGGAGCTCACAGGCACTGGGGGCCTCGGGGCCTATGGGCACAGGAGGCTGTGGGGAGAAAGGGGAGGTGAGCCTTCAGCTACAGCAGGACAGCACGAGGGGGGCCGTGGGGAAGCTGCTGGACAACGAATACGCTACGCCGTACCCTCACGCTGGTACTCACTCACTGACACAGGCTCTCACTCAACCGACTCACACACCAACACGTCTTCACACACGCACACACGTGCTGTCACTGACACGCTCACACGTCATCATCACTCACATGTGCGCATACACCTGCTCACGCAGTGCTCTCTCACACTGGAACACACAATCTCACACACGCATGGTCACACATCTGCTCACACACACCTGCCCTCTCAGACTTACACACACGGGGGCTCACTCATCCGCATGCCCTCACACACTTGTGCTCATACACCTGCTCACACCCATGTGCTCTCTCACACTGGAACATACCGTCTTACACACACGTGTGCTCAGTCACCTGCATGCACGCACACACATGTTCACACACACGTGCTCTCTCGAAGTGACACAGCTACATGTCACTACACCACAACTCTGGGCTCTGGGGACTGCCAGGTCTCTGGGCACGGGCAGGGCAGGGTTTGAGTGTACACTCCTTCCCACACAGACACCGACACCAGGCCTTAAGAAAGTCACGCCTCTGCGCCCCCTCCCCTCCGCTACACGATGGGAATATGGTCCCCTCTGCCAGGATCGCTGGGAGGACAGCGAGAGAGAAGACACACAGGAATTGCTCCTTCCGTTTTGGTGACTTCCCGCCTTCCTGGCTGGCCCTAAGAAGGGGTGGTGGGCAGTCTCAGGACACCATTCCCTCATCATCCCGCGTCTCCAGGATCCAGCAGCTCCCACCCACCTACTCCTCCGCACCCCCAGCCTCTCTTGCTCATCCAACATTCTCTAAGGGCAACTCTGGACGAGACCCTGATGCCCTCCCTGTGAGCTGGGAAGACACGGGACAAAGCCACGGTCCTCCCCGAGCCTGAAGGCCTCTGGTCCTTACAGTCTCCTGCACTTCACCAGCAACCCCACACACAGACACTCACATACTCGGCTGCACCTGTGAATACACCCAGTGTGTTCCTGCCTCAGGGCCTTTGCACGTGCAGTGCCTTCTATCTGGAGTACCCCACCCCACCCCCCAGCACTCCTAGCCAAGCCTGGCTCTGCCCTACCGCCATACAGCCGAGACTCCCCATCTCTTTGTCTTGGTACCCACTGCTCTCTCCTCTAGGAATGGTTTCCCCACTCCTTCCAGCTCCTTCATGGCCCAACTGAGTCTTGTGCCTGAGGCCTCCCTCAACCATGCAGAGAGCAAAGCCCAGGCCATTAGAACAAGCTCACAGGTGGACACACCATTCTCCCACTTCCTGGCGGTGTGGCCTCCTCGGGCACACACCGGCCCCTCCACCTCTCAAGGAAGGGAGGCCCTTGCTGAGCAATGATCATGAGGGTCCAGTCAGGCCTGTGTTTCTCTGAGTGTGAGGAATACACCCCTGGGGGAAGGAAGGGGCAAGGGATGTCAGGTGGCACCCAGACATGCGTTTTTATTCCCCAGGTGGGTGCTTGTTTTCCTGGGCCCTACACAGAAACTGTGACTGGCACCTGCACAGGTGAGCTCATCGGTGTGCAGCTGGGGGCACACCGTGGACCGACGTGAGAACAGCGGGTAAAGAAAGCGCAGGCGCAGTGGTGCCGGGGGTGACTGCCAGTGTCATGATGCAGAAGGGATGCTGGAAGCAGCATCTGATCGGCACCTGGCTCCCAGCAGGGTTGGCAGCTTCTGCTTTCCCTGGGGTCCAGTCAGCACCTCCTTTCTCCAGGGATTCCAGGATACTGTCCGGCACAGGCCTAGGACCACGGGGCACTTGGCAGGGCCTTTCAGAAGGGAGGGATGGAGGGAGGGATGGGTGGACGGGCGGACGGTTGTGTGATGGAAGGGTGGGTGATGGGTGCGTGGAGAGGAAAGTGATGGAAGGGTGGATGCAGTTGTCACATAATTCCATGCCAACTTGATAATATGTCTAGGGGTGGAATCTAGCCTGTCCATCAGGTCATACATAGTCTGGTGATGCCTCCTTGTGGGTGTAGCCTTGAGGATTCTGGAAACTTCCTCTCTTTCTACCTGGAGGTAGGCCACATGCTCTCTCTGCTTCACTTTATGCTGTTGAGCCACTCGGAGAGCTGGAGGAGCCAGCGCTGAGATGCTGCCACCAGCATTGGATCCACCAGACTTTCTACCCACCAGCCTGCAATCTTCCTGCATTCGGCATCACTGCATGTGCTATGTGAGTCTGAAGAGGAATGTATGGACTAGTATCGGACATATGGGCTAATATCAGATTTATGGACTTTATCTGGGATCTTTTCTTGATATACAATTATTCTTTGATATAAAGTTCTCTCTTAACACACATGAGTATCTATGAATTTGATTCTCCAGTCAACCCAGACTGACACAATGGATGATGGGGGGTGGGGGGTGGAAGGGTGGGGTGGGTGCCTAGAGGGTGGGGGATGGGTGCACGGAGGGATGGGGGATGGAAGGGTGGGATGGGTGCATGGAGGGATGGGGGATGGAAGGGTGGGACGGGTGCATGGAGGGATGGGGGATGGAAGGGTGGGACGGGTGCATGGAGGGATGGGGGATGGAGGGGTGGGGGATGGATGCCTGGAGGGATGGTGACGGAAGGGTGGGGGTCGGTGCATTGAAGGATAGATGGAAGAATGGGCAAGACTTCGAAGATGGTTGCCATGATGTGAGTAAAGCTAATGGTAGGATCTGGGGCCACGTGGGAGGATCATGATGGAGGGATCTTGGGAGCAAGGGTCTTCTACGAAGAGGCAGGGAAATGGGCACTGGGAAGGTTCTAGAGTCCACCTAAGCTTTCCCACTCTGGTAACAGAGCCAGGACACCATATGGACACAGAGCAGAAGGAACCTGCCCAGCCCGACGTGTGGCCCTGTGGCCAGCTGGCCCTGGGGCATGCCTCCCTTTGAGTGCTGCTGCTGAGAGCCAACAAGGGCTAGTGGTGTCAACCTGGGTCAGAGAGGTAGCCAGGGCCTGGGCAGCTCCTCAGACCTGGGTCCCCATGCCAAGCCCTGCCGGGTCCAGAGCAACACAGCCGACCCTGGCTCTGGGAGGCCTCCAGACCACTGGGCTGGCAGCCCTGAGCTGGGTTCCACCTGAGCTAGCAGAGACTCAGTCCCCAAAGCACAGCTGCAGGGCCCCAGCTGCCATGTTCCCAGACAATGAATGGCCTCATGCTCCTCCCCCCAAAACCTTCTTGAGGCTCCCAGTCCCCTCAGTGGCACCCCAAGGGGTTGCTATGGAAATGGGACACAGGTTGAGCATGCCAATGATTCAGGGGCAGAGAGAGCCTCCGCGGAAGCTAGGGAGTTCTCGGGGACACCGGCCTGCCTGTGCGTGGAGTCCCAGAAAGGCCTCAAAATCCCAGCTGCAGGGCCCGCTGCCAAGGGGTCACCACAGGGGGTGTCTCCCGCCTGCCCTGTTGGCACCTCACAGGTGCAGCTGCACCTGGGGGAGCTCAGAGCATCAAACGCCCATGTGTGTCCTGCAGAATTAACACAAGCTCCGGGGATTGTGGGGCTGCCCAGGCAACAGCGACTCAAGGATCCTGCCACACAAGGCCGGCGCTCTCGGGGCTAGCACCCAGGCGGTGACCGCAGGGGATGTAGGTGTCACTCGTGCGCCTCCTCCGGGCAACAGGGGCACAGCAGCACAGAGCTTGGGAGGCGCACACCCACTGTGCAGATGGGGACACAGAGGCCCAGTGAGAGGCTGCTGTCAATCCGCAAGGCAGCTGAAACGTCAAGCCCTGAAGTCTGGTCTCCTCTTGCCTAGAGCTTTTCATTCCCTCATTCATTCATTCATTCATTCATCCATCCACCCATCGATTGCCCTTTTGTAAGTGCCTACTATGTGCTTGGTGGGAGAAAGAGGAGGCCTTCTACTCCTATAAACAGCCATAGTCTCAGAAACTCACAGGGGCACTCCTGCCCTGCCCTACAGGGGCGCTATGAGCCGGCATGCATCCACTCAATGGCAGGGAGTGACTGTGTGTTTGTGATTAGGAGAGAGAGGAAAGGGACCCGCAGCTTCTCACCATGGTGGGCAGAGGGGGGAGCTGGGGCAGCTGTCCTGGGGGAGCCCAGGAAGGTGAGCTGGAGCCTCAGGCTCTATCTCCAAGTAAGGCTTTCAGAGAGTATCAGGGCTCCCTGACTGGCCTCCCGCTGCTCCCTCAACCTGAGGTCCCTTCTCGCCCGCTGTGCTGGGAGCCCCACCCGACCCCAGCCAAACAACGGACAAATAACACCGAACTCACTGCCATCGAGTCAACTCCAACTCACAGCAACCCTATAGGACAGGACAGAAGGTCCCTGCAGGTTCCCAAGACTGTAACTCTTTACAGGAGTAGAAAGCCCCATCTTTCTCCCATGGAGTGGCTGGTGGTTTTGAACTGCTGACCTTGTGGTTAGCAAACGTATGTGTAGCCACTATGCCACCAGGGCTCCTACTGTGAGCCCCCACCCTCACCCCGAGTGGAGCAATGTTAAGCTGACCTGGGGCCCTTACCTTCAGGATGTAACACCCCGTGCCTCAGAAACAGGGGACTTCAAGAACCTGCCTTGCACAGCACAGGGGCTCCATGGGTTAGTCCCCGTCTTCCTCCTCCTCCCCCTCCTCCTCCATCCTCCCTTTCCTGGCACCTCCCCTGGGCCAGGCTCTGGAGCCAACCCACGGTGGGGCAGAGAACATGTGACCCCAGCCGCCAGTCACCACCTGCTCCATGTCTTCCTCACAGGGTGGCACTTTTGTCCAGTGTTTGGTTTGCGTTGGTTGGGGGGGAGGGGGCAGCAGCGGGCATAAGACGGGCATCTCCCAGAACTCGGCTTGGTTCTGGGAAGACCTTCCGGCTCTGTTGTGACCCACAGGGCCTAGACCTCCAGGGACCACTAGACACAAGTGGAAGTGGGAAGCCGGAGA